CAGCCCTGCTGTGACCCCCCAACCCCCGCATGACCCCCCGACCCCACCCACAGAGGGTCCTGGCAGCAGCGACCCTTCAAGCCCTACAACTTCTCAGCACTGGGGCTGCCACCCGCCTGTGGCCACCTCCACCCCCTGCTGAAGGTGCGCTCCCAGCTCCGCCAGATCTTCCTGGAGATGGGGTGAGTGGGGGGCCTGGGGGGGGGCACCCAGGGGGGCCACAACCCCCCTGACACTGTGGCCCCCAGGTTCACAGAGATGCCAACCGACAACTTTGTGGAGAGCTCTTTCTGGAACTTTGATGCCCTCTTCCAGCCCCAGCAGCACCCAGCCCGTGACCAGCACGACACCTTCTTCCTGCAGGGTGGGTGCTGGGGGTGGGGGATACAGGGGTGCCCCCCAGACCCCACTGACTTCCCCCCTCGTGTCTGTGCCCCCCTCCAGACCCCGCCGAGGCCCCTGAGCTGCCCGCCGGCTACACGGCCAAAGTGAAGAAGGTCCACTCGCAGGGAGGCTACGGCTCGCAGGGGTGAGGGTGAGACCTTGGGCCGGGGGCAGGTGGGGGGCTGTGCCCCCCACCCCCAGGCTGTGCCCCCCCCCCCAACTGAGCCGCCCCCTCAGGTACAAGTATGAGTGGCGGCTGGAGGAGGCGCGGAGGAACCTGCTGCGCACCCACACAACGTCTGCCAGCGCCCGTGTGCTCTACCAGCTGGCCCGCCAGGTGGGACAGGTTTGGGGGGGCACAGGGGAGCTTGGGAGGGGGGATCCTGCCTGACCCCACCCCTCCTTTGCCACCCCCCAGGAGAAGTTCTCCCCAGTGAAGTACTTCTCCATTGACCGGGTCTTCCGCAATGAGAGCCTGGACGCCACTCACCTGGCCGAGTTCCACCAGGTGGAGGGGGTGGTGGCCGACCGTGGCCTCACCCTTGGCCACCTCATGGGCACTCTCCGGCAATTCTTCACCAAGCTGGGTAGGGGGGGCACTGGGGGGGTCACCTGGGGGGGGTTGGGGCTCCCCAGGGCCCCCCTCACCCCTCTCCGTTCCCAGGCATCACTCAGCTGCGCTTCAAGCCGGCCTATAACCCCTACACGGAGCCCAGCATGGAGGTGTTCAGCTACCACAAGGGTGAGGGGGGCCCTGGGGGTCTGCATGGGCCACCCCCATGGAGCAGGGGGGGTCCTGGGGGTCTGCGTGGGCCCCCAAAGGAGCCCCAGGGTCTGTGTGTGCACCCACAGAACTGGGAGGGACCCCATAGTCTGCACATGCACCCACAGAGCACAGGAGAACTTGGATGACTTTTTGGGGTGGCAGCCAGCTTAGCCTCATTCTCTCCCCTATGGAGTGGGGGCCTTTGGGATACCCCTGTAGGGTGGGGGGGGTTCTGGGATGGCCCTGTGGGGTGGGGGTCAGCCTGGCCTCAGTGTCTCCCGGGGGGGGGGGCCTTTGGGGTGTTCCTATGGCAGAGGGGGTCTCTGGGGTTCTGATATGGGGTGGCCTGGTCTCACTCCCTCTGAGGTAGGGGGTCTCTGGGGTGCCCCATGAGCAGGGCCCCTGTCTCACCCCTGTGGGGTGGGGGCCCCCACCTGCCCCCCAGGACTGAAGAAGTGGGTAGAGGTGGGGAACTCGGGGGTCTTCCGCCCTGAGCTGCTGCTGCCCATGGGGCTGCCCGAGAACGTCTCCGTCATCGCCTGGGGGCTCTCGCTGGAGCGGTGAGTTGAGGGGCAACTGGGGGCCCCAGCAGAGGGAGGGGGCCATCCCCGCCCCCGCTGACCCCCCTCTCCTGTGGCAGCCCCACCATGATCAAGTATGGCATCAACAACATCCGGGAGCTGGTGGGGCACCGGGTCAATCTGCAGATGGTCTACGACAGCCCCCTCTGCCGCCTGGACTCCTAGACCCCATCCTGCCCAGGGGGGTGCCCCCTCAATAAAGCCTCGTTGTCCAGCTGGGTGCCTGCATCTGTGCCGGGACAGGGACCACGCGTCGGGTGGCGGGCGGGGGGAGGGGGATTCGCTGTTCCCGGGGGTCCCCACAGCCTCACACAGCTCTGAAAGGAGCCGCACCCACAGACGCTCCAGCCCCGCAGCCATGACCGCGGCTCCCCACGACCCTCTGCGGTGCCTCAGCCCGGCGGCCTCACACCGGGGCACCTCCTCGCTCCTCAACCGGCCTCCCCCGCCCACAGGCCGCCACCCCGGTGCGTCCCGACCGTACCGTCTCCCGGCGCCATCGCGGCTCCATCTCCTCAGCGCCCGGCCCGGCCCTTCCCGCCTTTTCCCGCACCGCCTTTCAATGGCCCCCCCCCGCCGCCGCCCAGGCGGGCGCCGATTGGCCGGCGCAGGTGCCCGTCGCCCACCGAGACCCTGCCCACCGTGCTCTCCTCAGCGCCGTGAGGGGCGGCTGCGGGTCCCGCTTCACCGTCCCCGGGCTCCGGCCAGCGCGGGTCCCCGGTCTGGTGCCTGGCCCCTCCGCCCCGGGCCCCGCTTCCCTGTCGCGGCAGTGGGACCCCCCTGGGGCTGAGCGTAGGCCCCGAGCAGCGGCACCGGAGCCAGGCAGGTCCTTCCCCACCCAGCGACCCCGCTGAACCTGGCTGTGCCCCAGTCCCTGACGGCCGCCTGCCCCCCAGGGTGGGTATGTCGCGAAAGGAGCACAAGGGGCCCGAGCTGGAGGTGGCAGCGGGTGACAGCCCCTTCGTAGGGCTGGGCAGAGACAAGCCCCAAAGCGAAGACCCTGACAGGTAACACGTTTTCTGCTTGCTGTTGCCTCGCACTTTTGACCTAAATTGGTGAAAAAAGAGCATACAGGGAGTGACAACCCCACAGGCAGTGCAGCGAGGGGTGTCCTGGGTGACACACACATCCCCTTGTCCACGAGCCACCACATTCATTAGCAGGGTTCCCAACATTTCCCAATTAATGTGACCAGCCGGGCAGGCTGTCCCCTCCCTGGTCAGGGCAGAGCACGGCCCCATCCCCGTGGGGTGCGTGCCCCTGACACGCAGGTCCTGTGTTTTGGCCGAGGACGGAGGTGCTGCCCACAGCCCCACAGTCCAGCACGGAAGCAGTGCTGGACGGCCAGGCCTCCCGGTACTTTGCGGCGCTAGATGCCAGCATCAGGGGCCTGCAGCAGCGCACACAGCAGCTGATCGACAAGGTGAACGACAGCCGCAAGGAGGACCACGCTGTGATGAGCAGCTTCAGGGAGACCCTGCTGCTGAAGGTGGGGGCCAGGGAGTGGCAGGGGGCTGCTGGCATAGGAGGGAGCGGTGGGTGAGGAGACCCCAGCCCATGCCAGCCCCTTGCTGCTGAGCAGGGCTGCACAGCCATGTGGTCTCTGCTTGACGCGTTTAATCGCATTATTCTGCCCGAATTAGCAGCAGGCTGGGGGGCGGTGAGACGAGGTGTCATGGGGAGGGAGTGCCGTGTGAGCAGCCTCTTGCAGGGCACCGGCGCCAGCTGCAGAGCCTGGTGTGCTGTATGCACCGGTGCTTGCTGCTGTGGTGGGGGAAGCGCCCACAGCCCCTTCTGGAGTGGCTGCAGCTGCCTCCAGCCCCGCTTTGGAGAGCAGAGGGGCCACCAATGGCTCCCCCGTCCCTGCGCAGCCGCTGGCTGCCCTCGGCATCCTCGCTCGGCTGCGTGCCGTGCCGGACTTTGCTCCCACTGGCGTCCCTGCAGCCGGGGGGGCCATGCCAGCAGGGCAGGAGGGGAGGCTCCCGCAGGCCCACACACAGATGGCGGCCCAGCCTTGGCAGCTGCGGCCCGCGGTGACCCGGCACTTGATGGCTACTGCGGTCGGCTCTCCGGCTACCGTGGGCGCAGCTGGCAGTGGCAGCAGCCAAGCCAGGCTGGGAGCTGTGCCAGCCCAGGCAGCCGCAGCTGCCACCCCCCCTCTGGGGACGGCAGCCGGGTGCCAGCTGTGCCAGCAATGCTGCCCACCCCCGCGCCCCAGCAAGAGCCGTTTCCCCCCTTTTCTGCCCCGGTGCGGCAGGTCTCGGGCCTGGCAGAGCAGGTGGAGGAGCGGCTCTTCCACCTCTACGGCCTCCACAACGAGCAGATCCAGGAGCGGCTGCAGGAGCTAGCAGAGGTGATGGAACGGGTGCGGCAGGCTGAGGCTGAGCTCCGGCAGGTCTGCCGCACCGTGGAGGCAGCCTACCACGACCTCTGCCTGCAGCCTGAAACCTGAGCAGGGCCTCAAATGCACAGAGGCCCCCCCAAACCCGCCGGAGCCCCCCCTAGCCCTGCAGCAGCCCGCCTGCCCTGCGAGTGGGGCCTGTGTTGCCCACTGCTGCTGTGCCAGGGCGGCTGCAAGCGGGAAAGGGGGACTGGCCCAAAAGGGCTTTTCTGTTGCTGTTGGTGTTCGGGTTTAGCACAAATAAAAAGAGCAAAAACCCCAAAGGCTGAATCCAGGGGGCTGCCGGGGCTCTGCCGCCCGCTCACTTCTGGCCGCTTGCCAGGGCAAACCCAGCACGTGCTGAAGCGGGACCCCCTCCCAGTGGCAGAGCTGTGTCCTGGCGAGTTAATTAATGCTGATGAGGCTCACGCTGATGAATGGAGGCTGGCATGGGGTGGCTTTTCCACCTTTTATTGGTGAGTGGCCACGAGGACAGCAAAGGCACTGAGGCAGTTCACTGGCCAAGAGGCTCTGCGGCAGAGCCCGGCGTCCCATCAGTGACACCAAGTCCTGTCAGTGACAGCAGGTCTGTTCAGCAATACCCTGTCCAGTCAGCAACACCAAGTCCCATCAGTAACATGGGTCCAGTCATCGGCGCTGCCTCCTCGAGTCCTTCCCCATGAGGAGCGGATGTGTCCCCCATGGGTGACGTCCTGGCCCCGCCAGCAGCAGCACGAGGCCGGTCATGCCGCAGAGCGTCACAGCCGCATGCTGCCAGTGCGGTGCTGAGCGCTGTCTTCCCCCACTAGCTCCGTGGTGCCGGCGGCTTGCTGGGGGCGAAGGCCTGGATGCCGGTGATGGCTCGGCCCAGGATCAGTGCGTGGATGTCGTGGGTGCCTGTGGGCAAGGGAGCGGCCAGGCCTCGGGGGCGCCCAGCGGTGCCGGTGCCAGCACGACCCCACACCCCTGCCCGGCATGGCGGTACCTTCGTAGGTATTGACGGCCTCCAGGTTCATCACGTGCCGGATGACATGGTACTCGTCGCAGATGCCGTTCCCCCCCAGCATGTCCCGTGCCTCCCGGGCGATGGCCAGTGCCTTCCCACACGAGTTGCGCTTCAGCATCGACACCATCTCAGGGGCTGCCCTGTGGGGATGGGGACACTGACACCCCCCGGCCACCACTGCCAGACCCCCCCCGGCTCCAGGCCCCCCGCAGCAGCACCCACCTGCCCTCGTCCTTGAGGCGGCCCAGGCGCAGGCAGGCCTGCAGCCCCAGGGCGATCTCCGTCACCATGTCTGCCAGCTTCTTCTGCACCAGCTGGTTGCGTGCCAGCGGCCCCCCAAACTGGCTCCTGTGGCAGAGGGGGGCGGTGGGGCCAGGGGACAGGCGAGACCCCCGGGGGCACCCCTCGGCCCCGGTGTTACCTGTCGAGGACGTACTGCCGCGCTGTCTCCAGGCAGGCCTCGGCGGCGCCCAGTGCACCCCAGGCGATGCCGT